TTGAAAAGAAGCCCTAATTATGATTCTCCCACCAAATGTGCACAGAAATAGACTTGAGCGCCAGTTAAAGCCGTGAGTTTGGCGTTTCATTTTTCTATAGAATATTATGTGTCAATGATGATGTCAAACTTAATGACGTAAACATCTTCAAGAATATATTTGGTTTCACTTGTGGATTATGTGATGAACGATAAATAGACATTGAACCTGCTCCGTCATGACCGGTTTTTTCTGTATAATGTAACGATGGTGGTACATGTTTTCCTTGACTTTTAGCCACATCAATTAAACGTTTCAATGTTAATACCATAACATCATGTCTAGTAGTTAAAAAGAGTTTTTCTAGCTGCTGAGTATAAAAGAAGACAGTATGATTACGTTAATCGCAAATACTGAGAGGTGCATATCTCAAAAACTAAAAAGGATCTTTACACTAGCATATAGTGTAACTCGTGTACTTCAAACTACTATAACAATTGGACATGGACCCTCTCTAGTTAATTTAATTTTAATCTGAGAAGTTGGCAGAATGTCGGCTGAGCACTGCTTCTTTTGGACATCGAATAAATGAATATATAGATTAAAATAGAAAATTTGTTCTTTTCCATAAAGAGAAATACAGCGCTATGGACATATATACGAGCACATAAGAAAAAAATATGAGACGGAAGAAACGTAAGGTCACAGGAAAGAGAAGTGCATTTTCCTGTGGGAAAATTTTAGAAATATTTTCGAATGGGAAAATCAAAGAAACCTAAAAACCTAGACACCTAAAGACGCGTGAAATATTTTCCCGTGGGAAAATTTCAGAAATATTTTCCAATGGAAATACACTGTAATGTCGGAAAGTATTTACAGAAAATGCACGGCGATTTTCAAAAAGCCCATATAAAAATTCCTTGAGGATTTTCTAGATTCTAGAAAATCGAATTTATGAGAAACTGAGAAATTCAATCTCGATTTTCCAGCATTCTGATTCGATGTCGAATTTCCAGTTCGATTTTCTAGAATTATGGAACATACTCAGCGATTTTCAATCTGAAAATTCCTCGGTGATTTTATATATGGACTTTTGGAAATTCGAAAAGCGAATTAATTTTCAGTCATTCGGAATCATCTGAGGATTTTTCTGGCGTTTATGTAATTATACGATGTCGTGTTTAGATGTTTTAGTGTACTCCGAGAAGCAGAGACGTGAAACATTGAATGACAAAAGAAAAAGCTCGCGGGAACTGTGTGAGCCTGACAGACTTCTAGGTTAAGAATGCTGTCAAATGTTGATGCTGTCGAATGCTGATTCCGAATGACTGATTGGAACACTATTCATTTTTCTACTTCCAGCTTCCCCGTACAGAAAAGAAATGAAGGGTGTTTTTTGACCTTGATGCGAAATACAGAGCACACGTCGGATTGAGCTCCAATTTATACCAGAGATAGAACATCGAAAAAGAAAATCAATGTGTTTTTGCCCGGAATTTTCTGAGATGTTCTTATATGGGTTTTCTTTATATGGGTGTTTTTTTAGAAGAACTTAATCAAGATTTTTGAACCTAAGTTGGGTTTAGATTCTAAAACAAATATGGTCAAGACCTTAATTACGATTCCTGCAAACAGATTTCTCACGAAAATTCAATCACAATCTTGACAACGTCTGTTCACGTCAGAGATGTCATAATATCAGTACGCAGTGTATTCTCAAAAAGACACTATTTCCTGTGCTTGCTGGGCTGTATTCTCATTGACAATACATAGTATAGTGTCACGGTTGGAGGGGGAGGTGCAGCATGAGAGTAAGTCACTATGCAACATTTTTTTATTGTCAATGAGAATACACCGAATTCACAATTCAGATTCAAATTTATATATTCGCGTATTCTGGTATATTCTCGTGTATTCTCAATGAGAATACGTTTGTTGGGCTTGGTGTATTCTCAGTGGGAATGCACGAGAATGTACCAAGCCCAGCAAGTTTGAAAAAAAGTCTCTTTTTGAGAATACACTGCGTAGTGATATTCTGACACCCCTCGTTCACGATTCTTTAAGAGCAAGAAATTTGACTGATCTATTATGCAGATAGAACCTTTTTTGCAAAATAGATTAAAAGATGGTTACTGATTGAAATGGAGAAATTTCAACTTGGAATCTTCGTATCCCAACACAAATAAGTTAAGAGGAAAGGTCAAAAAAGCTTGTTTTATTCTCTCCGATTATCACATACAAAGCAAGAAAAAGAAGAATGCCCCCTGCCAGGATCGAACTGGCGATCTCTGGTTTACTAGACCAGCGCTCTACCACTGAGCCAAGAGGGCGTGTATCTCATTCAACTGGGATCAGCACACAAGTCGATGCTCTTGACACTTTTCTTTTACGATTCTTGTTTCCGACTTAAAGGGATCAGGATTCTTGCTTCTTCTTTTCTTGGAAATTCTTACTAGGAGATGATGTAATTCTTAATGATGTGACAAAAAATCTTTCATTATTTTGGATGTCTAACCATCAATCACCGACGACTGTTTTGCGAACAGTTTCCGCAAATGTCTCTACCGTGAACCGTCTGCGGTGTGAGGATGAGGGTGAGTCACACTCGTTTCTCCAAATACTTGACTGTAAAAACGTTTTTCGGTTCGTTCATTCTTTCTCATCAACGAACAAGGATTCATTCAAGGATATAGTATGTTGCGTTTACTAAAAGAAAGCTGATTATACTTCTCTGAGAACAAATGCACCACACTATAGCGAAACACCGCAAACAGCTCGCGGAAGAGTCAGCTCGCGGTAGAGACATTTGCAGAAAATGTTGGCGGAGCAGTTGTCGGCGATTGATGGTTAGGCATCCAAAAGAATGAAAGACTTTTTGCCACATCATTAAGAATTACATCGTCTCCAAGTCGGAACTGCATAGTTACGCTCAATGGACTAGTATTTAGGATTGAGTTATCGAGGACGAAGGAGACAATAAGAACAACGACGCTGACATAAAAACAAAAGAGTAAGCAAGAATCCGGACCCATTTAGGTCGGCATCCAGAATTATAAAAGAAAAGCGTCAAGAACATCGACTTGTGTGCTGATCCCAGTTGAATGAGATACACGCCCTCTTGGCTCAGTGGTAGAGCGCTGGTCTAGTAAACCAGAGATCGCCAGTTCGATCCTGGCAGGGGACATTCTTCTTTTTCTTGCTTTGTATGTGACAATCAGAAAGAATGAAACAAGCTTTTTTGACCTTTCCTCTTAACTTATTTGTGTTGGGATACGAAGATTCCAAGTTGAAATCTCTCCATTTTTATGTGTATTTCCATCCTATCCGATTACTTTAGTTTTTGTCAAACTTTCACTTTAAAAAATTATCGAGATTTTCGCCAAAAAGGGAAAATCAAGTAAAACTTTTGAAACACATATCAATCGACTCAATTTTGATCCTGATTCTGAATATGATATTGTTATTGCATAGAAGTTGAGTTCTGTTGGAGAAAGTTGAGAAATACGAGCAGAATTCTGGCTTTGTAGAAATATTTCTAATGTCAAGGTGCACTAGGACACTTTTTTTCTATATTATATATATCAATTTGTAGCTCGAGAAATTCTCTCTCGAATGGTATATTTGTTGTAGCGGCCAGATGAGAAATGTTGGCACGATAATATCTGGAGTTGTGAAACTGAGAGCGAAAGATCCAAAAGTACGATCTGTAGTATATTGTATGTAACGGTCCAAACTGTTTCTGAGGCGGACAATGAAGTCAGTGCAAAAACTGCCTATACGAAACAGTTTTGGCACTTTTGAGTTGCATACTCTATGATATTTTTGAATATCACTTGAGCGATTGTGTGCTGATAGCGATCAACTTAAAATGGCTATATCTCAGGAATAAAAAACTGGGACGTTGTAGTCTCAACTGATTTATATGTTTGAACATGTTTAGAATCTGGAAATAACAACTGTGGTCCATAAGCATAGCCCTTTTCCAATAAAGTTTTCGAGACAAAATTGGCAAAAACCGTATATCCTCTTTCAAAGATGGCTCTCGTTAGACTGTCCAAAGAGGCCCATGAGAATGAAAACCACATTTCCTGAGAGATCAGATAATGAGAAATACACTAATTGGTTTTGAGTTTTGACTTTGCTTGAAAACATTAAAAAAGTGTTCAGTTTTAGGTACTACAAACGACATTCCATCTGATCTGATCGCACAGAAGCCTCGAATGTCCTCCAAATAAACAACTTATTTATTCACTGAGCCAAATCTAAAATCTTCATTGGATCGAATGTCCTATACTTGGGTTTTATTATCGTTGCTGCTATTGTCCATATTAGGTGGTCGATTGTTACGGAGTCCCACACAATCGATAGCTGGTGATTCTGAACATCTTGTTCATTTTATTGTGGTCGTTATTCGCGTGGCAATTAAGTTTAGACATGCAAAACAAGATGATGTTTTTTCGGTGGTAGCAATATTAAAGATACATTTGGACATTGGGATTGGCTATGGCCGTATATGGTGCCATAAATAAAAACAATACCGGCATTTCAACTGCCTACGGGCCCACGGTTATCCACGTAATTATGTATTTAGTGGTCAGGAAAGTGTTGAAACTAATTTAGCTGGTAAATAGTGTTATTGGTCAAATGAATCATGCTGGTGGCAGCTTCATGAATGATTGATCAAAGTCCAATAGTTATAATCTTAAAATAGTACTGATCAACCATGGTGTAAGATAAGAAGACACATCAGCTATCCAATTATTTATTACCCCACACTGAAGGGGCCAAAACAACAGCCTTGCATCCAAATGTTGCTCAATGATAATGGTAGTAGCAGTACTGGAACATTGAACGCCAAAAGAACCTTCAAGAGGCATTTAATTTTCGATGAACGTGGAAGTTCATCTTGTTCTATGGGGGGAGGTGTTAGTCGTCCCATAAGGGAGAAGATCATAGCTAAGGTTATTGCGCAAGCATATATTCAAGCTTATGGCGCAAGACTATGGTCAAGGTTATTGCGCAAGAATATTCAAGGTTATTGCACAGAGTATAGCCAAGATCCTTGCTAGTATAAATAGGTTGAGTTTATTGTTAAACGACACTTTTTTTATTTGTAAATAAACGTTAGGTGAGAAAGATCTTAGTTCGCTCGGGAACGTAACACTCTGTGCTTAGGTCTTGGAAAAGGAGCTGTATCTCAAAAGCTAGTTAATTTCTTTTGAGAGTACGTTATTTCTCCATGAATAGAACCATAGAATTATAGAGCAGTCATCATCACTTTTTTCCAGAACCGTCAAGCAAATTTTGTCGTTTTTTGGCATTTGGCAACAGGCATCCACCTCTACTTTATGTTATGTGTGTTATTCATGCTTTTTATGGTATCCTAGGTATTTATGTTATTTATGCTATTCATGGTTTTTATGGTATTTGTATTATTCATGGTTTTTATGTTATTTATGTTATTCATGGTTTTTATGGAATTTTAGGTATATATGTTATTCATGGTATTTCAGGTATTTATGTTATTTATGCTATTCATGGTTTTTATGTTATTTATGTTATTCATGGTTTTTATGGAATTTTAGGTATATATGTTATTCATGGTATTTCAGGTATTTATGTTATTTATGCTATTCATGGTTTTTCTGGTATTTATGTTATTCGTGGTGGCTAATTTTTGACG